CCACAATAGGTATGAAATGCCCTATCAGGAAGAAATGTACAGGTAGTCCTCGACTTACAACCCAAAATATTTGTTGTGACTTGAGACATTTGTTAAATGAGTTTTGCTCCATTTTATTACCTTTCTTGTCGCATTAGTCAATTGAATCACTGAACCTGTTAGATTAGTAATACAATTGTTGAGTGAATCAGGCTTCCCCTGATTTTGCTTGTCAGAAGGTCACAAAAGGGGATTATATGACCCTGGGACACTGCAACCGTCATAAATATGAGTCAGTTGCCGAGTGTCTGAATTTGGATTACATGACCATGAGGTTGCTACAACAGTCTAAGTGTGAAAAATGGTCATAAGTCACTTTTTTCAGTGTCATTGTAACATTGAACGATCACCAAACAAACTGTTGTAACACTTGCCTAGCTGAGTGTTTCATATATGTGCACAATCTAGTTATACTTCTGTGAATCTTTGTAATTATATTATTTCCAAATGTACAATGTTTTCCTCCATCATTTTCTTAAAAGATGTGTTACAAAGAAACTCATTCCTTTGTCATTATTCATCTGCAATGAGAAGTAATCATACAGCAAATACTATTTGAAGAAAACACAGATTAGCAGTTTCTGTTAAGGGCAGAACTGTTCCTTTGATGGTTGAGACAAGTACAGGTTTTCTAAATGTAGCTAAATCTCATTTAAAAATGAACAGTGAAATGTTATGACAGAAGAATAGCCATTTTTCAATGGTAGTTATAGTTTCAAACCTTCAGAGTACACCAATTGGAAAATAATGACTGTAAGTATTTTTAAAATATTTAAACATCAGCTCTCTCAGAAGGTATGGCCAATGTTATTGTACTTAGCCTGGAAACATGTAATTTTTCTATCAGGCAGTTCATCAATAGAATGACTCAAAGTTGCCGCAATCAGTTCTACCAAGAACAATTCATCACTTACATCACAGTCTCTGTTAATCCTGTTACAGGTTCAAGTTCTATGGTCATTTTTATTAAAGAAGCTCTTTTTAGTGACAGACTCAATATGAATGTAGTCTGTATTCTGAATATTTATATAAAATATATTTTTGAAGTTCTTGCAGGGTTTTTTTCATTAGACTTCAGACTAGATTGAATATAGTGCAGAATTTCTAGAAACCAACACATCTCTTAAGAAAATGGTAGAGGAAAAGTAAGCAAGATTATATATGCTGTTGGTTAGAAAAGACTTATCCATGCTTACTATATTCAAAAGTAACCCAGGGTAGTTGGCTTTCCAAGGCATTGGCCATTGCTCTGTGGCAGAGCAATTGTTTTTCATGCAGAAGACTCATGTCATCTCCTGACCAGATGGAAAAATCCTGCCTGAAACTAGCAAGTTGCTGCCCACCACCCATGGCCTAATTCTGCATAGCCTAAGAAACTTCTCCTACTGTGACACCTGGCCCATTGGTTCTTATGTCTCTTCCTATACTTTACCTTTCTGGCGAGTCTTTCTTACAAAATAGCAAGCGTCTCTGCTCCACTTGGGTTCATTTAATCCCAAAATTTTCACTCAAGACTCTGCAGATAAATCAACTTACAGGTAGAAAAAGGAGATGCTCAGTAGAAATTCAAGAATGAATTACCGTATTTTTTGGAGTATAAGATGAACCTTTTTCCCTCAAAAAAGAGGCTGAAAATCTAGGTTTATCTTAAACACAGAATACAGCATTTTTTGCCTCCTGAAACTCTGCCCCTTTCTTCAAAATGGCCGTGCATAGCTTTTAAAAGGCTTTCAGACAGCTCCTGGGGGCTGGGGAGGGCAGAAATGAGTGCCCCCCAGCCCCCAGCAACACTATAAGCTTCCTAAAGGTTATCCATGCCCTTTTTGTGACCACCACCCCCTGCTATTTATGCCCTTTTTTTGGGGGGGGGAAACGCCCCCATTTTTGGGAGGTTTGCAGAGTGCAAAAACTTTTTTAAAAATTTTCCTCTTCAGAACCTTGCTGCGTCTTATACTCCAGTGCGTCTTATACTCCAAAAATACGGTAATGAGACATTTGAAGAGTCCTAGCTGAGCTGGGAAACGTATAGTAGCTTTTACTCCACTTCTCAGAGTAATAAATTGTGTCTATCCTTTGAGGAGCTTCTGCAGGATTCTTATTCATTGAATGTGACAAGCTCCTGTCAGCAGGATGGGTTGATTTAATTCAAAGGAATGTAATCCATCACTGGAAAATGGCCTGAATTAAATAATTGTTCTAAAACAGCTTTCTACTTTCTTACCCTCATTTCCTCAAGAGATTTGGATCTGAAATGGTTGATATAACCATTGAAATAGTTTGTTTGCAGGTAAATAAGAAATCATATGGATATTGATCATAGACCATGTAACCTCCGTTCTGTCGTGTGTGTGTGTGTGTGTGTGTGTGTGTGTGTGTAATCCCTACTTCTTCAGGAGGAGCTCTACTGGCAGTAGCGGGATGCCATGGATTTCCCTAGAAGTATAATTGAACTGTCAGAACTTGTTTGCTTGTCAGGCAGTGGCGTTGTTTCCATTTCAGCATCCATCAATCAAGGCATACAGAGCAAGGATTGCTCTGCCTGCTGTTTTCAATGATCAAAGTGAAATACAGCATGGATAAGTAGCCAAATAATAATAGATACATTGTGTAGCTTACTATCTCCTATTCTGTATAATAATGTCTGTTCTTCAAAGCCTATTTCTCTTGTCCTTGGTTGCTTAGAAAAGCAGACTTTTAACACTTTTGCATTTATACTTTTTACTGGACATGTAATATTCTTTAAAGAAATAAGATTTAAATATATAACAAATCAGATTTTAAAATTACTTTCCTTGTCAGTGTGGCACTGATTCTTTCAAAGAAGCTATAGCTAATGCCTAATGTCTTTAGTTTGGTTGTACTATATGTCTCTTCAGCCCAGCATTAGTCATGATTACCGTGGAGGATGGAGTTGTAATGGAAGAGTAAAGGGGAGTGGGTCAGATATTCTCTATCACTCTGCATTCTACAGGTGTTAGCTAGATACATTTTGTAGGTCAGGGGAACAGGAATCCTTTCTGAGTAGCTATATTTTTTCTTAATGTCATTAGACAGTTCATGGAACTATTTTTTCAACCCCTCAAAGATTATTTACTTGAACATTCACTGTCTACTCCATTGGTTTACATTTGATCAGAGAGAGAGGGAGTTGTATTCACATGGACAATTAAGAATGAAATTATCATTATTGTTAGACATTTTAGGTTTTCTATGAAACAAAAGTTACCCATTGCCATCATTCATTCATTCATTTTTAGATTAGCCATGCATGTATGTAACCCATCCACTCAAAGATCTCTGGAATTCCTCTTGATTTCAGACCACCAATAAGTTCAGGTCCTGGGTCTAATCCTGATTCCATTCTGCTCCTGTAAATGTGCAGAAGTGCAGGAAACTCAGTAGAACCCCAACTGATTTATTTAACAGTAATGAAGTTTCAGAAGGAAAAGGTGATAAAATCCTTCCCAACTCTAAGTTCAGTTTCTTTCCATCTAAATTACATAACTGTTCTGGTCAGTATGGTGAATGAAAATATATTTGTTGCCAGCACTTTGAATCTGGCCACCAATTCTGTTTGAAGGATAAGAGCACAATGACATAAGCATCAAAATGTGTTAGGAGCTTGATCTTCTACATGGAAGAAGAATCCAAAATCATCTGTGAAGCTGATATCCTGTATTCTATGACTGGATTGTGGAATGCCTTCCATCCTTCTCTTTGAAGTTCACCAACACTAAGAAGATAGGTCAATTATCTCTTTGAGTCATGCAGGATGGCATCTGCTTCTGGGTTACAGAGTGTTAATTCTTCACTTACCCAACCACTTCCCTCCTGTGTGCTAATAATGTCCCATGCTTTTCTTTCACAATTGGGCAGCGAGAGTGATCCAGGCAAAGAAAAGAGAAAGCAACTTTATCATGGTTTGGACAATGGCTGTATCCTGGCAATTTATCTTCCAGCTCCTGGAAGGAAAGCTATCTCACTTTCCTAGCAAGACCAGTTTCCTCTTGGAAAGAAGAGGATGCCTGTTTGACACCAGTTCAGCACTCAAACTCATGCTAAAGTTATTCTTAGCATAAGGAAATGATGCAACAAGGAATTTATCCTCTTGAAGGAAGTTGGATTTCCGTCCACGGGTATTATCTAAGCTGTTGTGCACTTCATTCATTGAGCCAATTTGTTGCATGCATGTTTAGCTGAAAAGATGGTTACAAAGAGTATTTCGTGTCACAGGTCACAAGGTCTTCAGTATGATGGGATTTACTTTCAGCATTCGTTCATTAACCATCTGGCTTGCCCAGCACTTTGGACTGTTGATCTTGAAGTTGGTCCAGTCTGCTCCATAGATAGGGAACTATCATTTTACAAAAGTCCTTAGACACTTAGCCAATCTTCATCTATGACTTGGAGAACAATAACATTTACCTGTTGTTTTTTTCCAAAGCAGTTTACTGGTATAAGTTTAAATGAAAATATTTTTGAATATTTTTTAAAGATTATTTCTTGTAATAGAAAGTATTTTTTCCTCCGTGATTTGTTAATTTTTTTAAATGTAGAGGACACTGTTCAAAAATTGTGTCTCCACCTATCCCACCCTGACAACTTGTGTTGTTGAAGTCCAGAATATCAGCTAAAGAGCCCATCACCTCATTCTGGATATGCAGAAAGGGATTCAGTTCCTTAAAGTTATACTTGTTGCTGCCTGCTGTGATCAATAGAGCATTGCTTGAAATTCACCAAACCTTCTTATTTACAGTATTGATTCTTCCTAATTTTTGGATCCCCATTTGTCACTGAACAAATTTGATGTTAGATCTGTGGCAGTTGCTCTGGCTCCCCCCCCCCCCAGCTTTATGTGGTAATATGCTGTTTTTCAAATGAAGGGCAAGTTTTCCCATAAAACAGCAGTAAAGCCACAGTGTAAGAATTTATCTGAGTCATGTGCAAACTGAGAAGATTAAACCCGAATAAACCAAGAAGGCTTCTCTCTGACCTTATGCTTGAAAAACCAGACAAAAGTCACTTTTGTTTCTCCCATGGCAATATTAAACGAAAGTTAATATCGATACTCAAGTCAATCAAAATTTGATTCTTACTTAAGGAAGAGACTGATAACAATTGCAGACAGTCAAATTGTCTTTAAAATTCTAGCTCTTGTATTTTGGAAGCCACGGTTAATATAACGTGAGGAATTACATACAGAAAAGGGAACAGGGACATTTAGGAAGTGCAAAACCAGGACATTCCTCACTGAAGAGAAGGCTTTTAGAAGAGTCATGCATGTTTCCTAGAAGTTGCCTACAAGTTGATAAAAGCAAGTGTTTGTTGCAAGAACATCAACAACAAAAAAGAAGACTCTAATTGTGATCATTATAGAAAAGTCTGTCTCATTCTTCAAAGTTAGTGTCAGAGTGGGATGTCTATGACTTGGAGACTATATCACCTTAGCTTATACAGGCTGCTTGTGGTGTGTCTTAGGATTGCACTCCTGGCTGCCGTTTTTCCTTATTAGCATATAAATAGGCATCCATAGAATTCTAAAATTACTTGCTGTCTGAAAATGCGAAAAGTAAGGAAAGGTGAAGGAACAGAAATTAAAGGAAAAAAGAAACGCGTGATTCGGGGAATCAGTTAAGAGCCTGTTCAGATGTGATGTGGCCTTACGGGCAGCCTAAAAAGGGATTGCAAAAGAGATTGCATGTAACCTGTATTCAAGGAAATGATATCCTGTTGAGGGGCAAACCTCACTGGGAAGATGATCTTGCTGGAAAAAAAACCAGGCCATGTTCAGTCTTTCAAGGAAGCCTGCAAAGTTCAATTGGTGCATAACTGCTTTGACTTCAAAAAGCACATTGGGATTGAGTCGTAAAAATCTGCAGGCAAGACAAGGCCATGCACAGTGCCACTTCTCATATAGCTTTTCTGGCTAGTCCTTATATCTGTTTGAACTCTGGGAGTTGAGAAGCAATTTGTTATATCTTGGACATGCAGTCTGAGAAAGCTAAATAGAAGCATAGAACATGGGCATCGTGGGGGAACATGCTTGAATATGTTGTTTAAGAATAAGAACTTGAGAAGACAGATAATATTGAGTCAGCACTAAGGTTTCCAATGTGGTATTGTCTATTAAATGGCAGTAGCTTTTCAGGGTTTAAAACAGGAGTTGCTTTCAGCCCTAAGTAGAGAGCTGCTGGGTCAGAATCTGGAATTTTTGGCATACAAAGAATGTCCTCTATCTTGAATTCCAGCCTCTGCCCAGCTATAAGAAGAAACAAATCTTTATGTGTTTCTGAATTTGTTTGTTTTATACTGCTTGACCTGAGCTGTTCAATGTAAGAGGGGAAAATTGAGGAAAGAGATTTTGCCTCTCCCCCCCCCCCCCAGGTAAATAGGATAGCATTGCTCTTGTTATTCCATTTGCCAGGAAATCTGGTATTTTTCTTGATAAGAACATTTAAGAAATTAGGAAGAAACAATTTTGGAAGATGAACCAGAGGATTAAAAATGGGATGGTCTTTTAGGCAAAAGAGGCATTGACAGCCTCCCTGAAATTGCCCTTAAAACACTTGGATTTTGGAAAACTTTGGGTCATACCAAGGCTGATAGGACTTAAAAGTTAATATATGGGTGGCAGATGAAGAAAGATAAAGAATTCTGATAATAGTAAGAGAAGAAGAAAGAAAATGTATCCTTCTGCTAGAATGGAAAGTTTATTGAAAATGTTTCCATAGCATTTGGCAAATAAATAGTATACATCAGTGTTTTTCAAGCTTGGCAACTTTAAGATGTGTATTTCAACTCTAAATTATATAGTGTGATTGCAGAATTAAAATTACTAAATTTGAGAAACACTCATGTTTTTTGCCTAGAAAAGGCTGTATTCAGTTGTGCCTGACTATAGGGGAGAATGAAGATATAATTGACCCATGTAGATCCTGTATTACTCTTTCCTCTGGTGTTTGTTTTAGAGGACAAATTCTACATCTATCAGCTGCAATGACAGAAGGTTTGCACACCTAAACTGCCAAGAGGCACAGTTTGGGATTGGAACATTCATTCTGCAGTACAGGTATTCTTCAGCTTGTGACCACAATTGGACCAGAATTTCTGTTGTTAAGCAAGGTGGTTGTTAAGAGAGTTTCACCCAATTTTACATCCTCTTTTTGTGAGTTGCTTTATGAACCACTGCGGTTGTTAAGTGAATCGCATGGTCATTAAGCAAATTGAGGTTCCTCCATTGACTTGCTGGTCAGAGGCTGGCTTAGAAGGTAGAAAATGATGATTCCCAGGATGCGACAACCATCATAATTACATGCCGGTTTTCAAGCATCCAAACTTTGATCATTTGACTGTAGCGATGCTGTGGTAGTCAAAAGTGCAAGGACCATTCATAAGTGACTTTTTCAGTGGCACTGTAGCCTTTAACATTTGCTAAACAAATGGTTGTGAGTCAAGGACTACCTGTATACAGATTCCAAGGAGCAGTAATCTTTTGCTGGGATCTTGAGGAAAAGGACAGTAAGCTTCATGGATTTGGTTTTTTTTCTTGTGTGATTTAAAAAAAATAAAATAAAATAATTCCCCTGTTTTTCTTGCATTATCTCCCCTCCCTTCCCTCTTTAGGACTGGGAATATTTGGTCTTAGAGAAGCTGAAATGGGACCTGGTAATAGTAATAGCAAATGATTTCCTGGATCACATTCTCCATCGGCTGTCGCTTCCTCAACATAAGGTGCACTTGGTAAAGAAACACGCCCAGACTTTCATTGCATTGTGCGCCACAGGTATGTTTGTGTTTGAAAGGGTGAGCCTCTCTGGAAGGGAGAAGCAGCTTCATTTATAAACTTTGAAAAGAGAGACCTTGTTTAATTGATAGCTGTAGTAAACTGATTTTTTCCCCCCCAAAGAGGCCAAAGATTTCCCCCATTGATTGAAATCTGGTTTCCGTCTCTGGAAAGCAGGGATGGTGAATATTTCAGGTTTGTGTGCCATTATCTATAAAAAAATTAAATATGACATAGTAATCCCAAAATGATAGTTTGCATGATAAGGACAAATGTAGTCTCTCTAACTATTTTAAAAACAACTTTACTACTCTATTGAAGAATATAACCTCTAGTTCTCTTCTATCACCAGAAAGACACATCCTATTGCTCATTTGAACTGGGCATTAGGTCACTGCTGAATTCTTGTACAGTCTTAAGTGGGGAAATGCATTTTTCTCTCACGTTCACTACTTGTATATGTGCAGGGAGAGTACCTATCTTTTCTTCTTCCAGGAAGATGCATTTTTGCTTATTGTAACATGCTATCAAAAAGAAATAGCTATGTAACCTTATAGATTATTCTTAGGTTGGTTAATGAAACATCTTAGATAGATTTCATGTCCCCTTTTGTTGGTGTCAAAGTAGGAAGCTGCCAGTCACTTCCACTATTTTCATTCCAGTTTTTGGTAACTTTGGAGTAAATGGAAGATCTTTTAGGCAATAATGGGTTCCTTTTTCCTAGCTGGCAGATTAATCAAATACTAATGTCTGATATGCAATAGCATTGACTGTTAAAATATTGATGCAGATTGATCATGATGATGATGACTTGGAAGGTGAGATTTCATCAAATGAATGCTTCCTCCTGATACCTGTAAATACGCTGATAATAATTTTGTTGCAAAATGATTTACGTAAGCTAAGATCATGCTCTTTTTCAATTTGGGAGGCACTTTAAAATTATGAAAATGTGTAGTGGTTGGTTACAGGTCGCAAAATACTAATATTTATGAGATTGCACCTGTCACCATCTCTAGATGTCCCCCACTCATAATACTTTCTGAAATCTCAGATTATCTTTGCATTTTAAATGAAGAAAAAATATACTTTATAGAGAAAACAGCCTACCATTTTATTTTCTACACATCCCATTGAGGCTTCATAATAATAGCAAATAGCACTTAAACACCCCATAGTGTTTTATACTGCAAGGTTTTTTTTTCTTATTTAAAAATTAGTGTCCAATTCTGCATTGCCGAAATTTTGAAATGAGCCATCTGGTCAGGAATAAGGCAGAGTTTAAATATTTTAAATAATGTTAAAAGAACTAAGATGTATTCCTTTCTGAAACTTGAAACCCTAACCTGTGCTGCTTAGTTTTAATTTGCTTGGTCTTCTATCTTAAAGTATCTACTTAAGCTTTCTTTGTGGACATTTCTCTTTGCTGAATGAAATAACGAATGAATTCATTCCTCTTCCTCCTAATACCCGTTTCTTCTTTATTTGTAGAGTATACCTTTGCTATGTATCCACCATCCATGATTGCCACAGGTTGCATTGGAGCAGCAGTCCATGGCCTCTCTACCTCATCTGACCATTTTTCTGGCGAGGCACTTACTGAGCTGCTTGCTAGCATTACTGGCACAGAGGTGGTGAGTATCCTGCTTGGAGGCAATAGCATGCAAAATGGGAACTGGAGTTCTGCTAACATTTTCTTCCTTGAGTCAAGGAAAGCTATTGTGGCTTCTTCCCTTTGCATTCCAAACTGGTTCTTGTTTATAAGATGGCCAGAAAATCTGGTATTAACAGATGGCATTTAGCATCTCCTTAAGAAGCCACCAGGCTGTCAAATCATTTCTTAAGCCTCTATTTGATGATTAGAGACATCTGCCTCTTTTCAAAAGTTTCTGGTGATAAAGCTTTTGAGCTGCCAAATCTAAGCTGATGATCCAATATCATTGGCAACAGCAACCTGGATGGTAAAGATTCAAATACTCAAATCCCAAGTTTCTGTTGGTTAATCAAAACATCTTAACAACAACAGCGAAAGAAAAATATAGCAATAATCAAACCCCAAATTAATCTATGCACCATAAAATTAGCTACACTAAAACCAAGGCTATCTTTTTAGGAATGTGATGGAGAAAACATCTAGGCAAACGAAGAGAGTTCTTTCGAAAGTCATTTTGAACCGTGATGCTGATATTGCTACACAAACGAGAAAAACGCGCAAATCAGGACTGAAACTTGCAGTTTATTTTTCTGCCTAAGGAACCTCTTGTGCTTATGACTGTAGAGTTGCAATTCATAGAATTAAGGGGCGATTGGGACAAGATGCTGAAGAAAGTAAAACCCATATTTTCTTGTTAACATCTTGTTGGTTCATTCATTTATTTCCACTTTTTGGTTTAAAGTAAAATCCGCAGAATTCAATAGGAATTGTTGTGAATTACACTCTTGTCCAAATCTGGATTAAACATACCTGCATTCTATGAGGTATGTTTAAAGTATGAAATGGTGTTCACAAATTCCCACTTTCCAACATATGTGTATAAAAACAATTTTAAGTATAAGACATTTCAATTACAAAAGATTAAAATAAACTTTTAAAACCCCACAGCTTTTTGTTAATTATGCAACTAATGGGCTATGTAGAGATAGAATTAGCTAATTTTGGTCTGACTTCCTTACCCTGCATGGAACGTTCACTTACAATTACCTTTAAAAATTCCTATATTACCTTGTATTGAAAAATGTAAGGAATAGGTCCTCTTTACCAGCTTTTTCCTATTGGATTGCTCATCATGCCATTTTTAAAAAAATTAAAATACATAGACTTAAGAGCAGGAAATTAAGTTCCTTTGATCATGTGTTCTGCTTAGATTTTGGACATAGTAGACCTTCTAGCCCCATTTTTCCTGGCTATCCTGCCTGTCAGTATTGTACAAGTCATTATGCTAAAACAGGAGCTGTTTGTTTATTACATTTCTATGCCACCCATTTCACTGATATAGTGACTTTGGACAGCTGTTCAAAAGTTATGTTTGGAAGCCTAGAATGAAGGCGTATCTGGAAGAGCAGATGCATTATGAGAAGTCACGGAGGAAATGAGAAATGTTGGAGCTTCATTCGACAAGCAGAAGCACCTAACTAATTGTTTCAGATTCTTGTTCTCACAGTTCTGGAAAAGTTGTCATTCATTTTATACATATATAAACCACCCACTCTCCCCTGACATTTTAGAGATTACTTGATTTGGGGAAAAGATTTTATATGCAGCCATTGATTGTCTGCCATATGTGACTATATTATTAATGTGGCTGAGTCTTATTTCAGTTGCAACGCAGTGCAGAGAGCCTGTCACCTTCAGAAATGGAGGATAGTAGAGCCTTTCTTTGCCTGGTCAATGCAAAGGTTACATGGTTGTCCCTGGAAGACATCTGCTCTTCTGGCAGCTTCCTCTCCTTGCTCTGCATCCTTGGATTCCCAAGCCAGTGCTGCTTTTTCACTATTAAGCCAAAACAATTGTGACTGCAGTACTCAGTGGGGTTGCTATACAAATTGGCTGTTCTCTAAAACCCAACTGCTTTTTCTTGTTGCATTGTGGCAGCTTCTGACCTACCACTGAGTTCATGATTGCTGGGTATTTGCAGATGGTTCTTCCATTTATTACTTATCTGATGCTCCAGATTAGTTATTTCTTCTTTTCTTTTGCACACCGGGGGAGGGGGGGAGTCTTTGAAAAGCAGAAGTTCGTCCAAACAGATAAATGTTGGAGATTAGGTTGGTGAATGAGGACAGGATTGGAATTGGCTTAATGTCTATTCAGATGGGTCAGTGTAGGATTTTTGCCATAGGCAAATATGGAGTCTAGACAAGTACACTTCAGGTGGCATTCCAGAGGCCTCCCGGGTTGCCTTCTCAGGTTGCCAGGAAAAGCATATTTGACATTCTGAATACTCTGTTACATGACTCAAACCAACAGGGAAAGCAGGAGCTGGTGAATTGTGCCTGTCTTGCAGATCTAGTAGTAAATTGCTTGACAACCATGAAGTGAAGAACATGTTTGGTAAGGTTTTGGGCTTTTTGCCCCATGCTTTCTGAAGTGTCCAAAGGCCAGCTGCTCGCAAGCTGCTCTATGAATGAGAGTGAGTCTGGATATCAAGTTTGAATGCTGAGCCTATTAGCAGAGTTGATGGAAAACAGTAAAGGGCAGGTGGAAAGTGGATAGAGGATTACAAAAGATGAACATCTCATAAAGAGAAGAAGTGAGGATTTCAAGGCCCCATGCTGTAGTTAGTTCTTGCCTGAATTGGAATGCCATGTTTTATCTTGTCAATTGGGTTTGTTCTACTGTCCAGTGCTTTTAAGTTTCTTTCCCACTTTTTGCATTTTTTTGAGCTTTTGTCTTCTAACTGAAGCTTGTAAGATGCTATAAAAAAATAGGACTCTTGCTTTGTTTGATATTCTTATTAGGCTTCAGCTGAAGATTGAGTGGGTAGAGGCAGCAAGCAGAGATTTGAATTATTTCCAGTAGTTTTGTTTTATTGAACTTTTCTGTTTCATTGAGAATAGCCTTTAAACTTGCTTTTTGCATTTATAGTGAATCTTGAGTGCTGATTGAGATTTATAAGGAGATGGACATACATTCTTCCTATTTTTGAATGACAGTTTATCATAAAACATGTAATCGGGAACAAAACTTAAAATTTTGAGACATTCCCATTCTTTTCTTAGTTTTTAGATCATATAAAAATAGAAACAACGAGAGAGATTCAAAAACAACAAAGAACAGGTTAGCATTTGGAGGACCTGTACATACTTTCTTTCCCTTTCAGTTTTCACATCTGTCCATCCACTCCCAGTTGCATTTAATTCTTAAAATTGCCCATGCCAATGCTTAGTGTCTCTTGCATACAATTCACTAAATGTATCAGATGTCTTAAGGTTCTAGAGTGAAGAGTCGATGATCTATAGATGCTTTGAATGGTCATGCCATTTTTAAACAACAGTCCCAAGTCATGAGAATCTAGGACATGTTTTACAAGAAACAGATCCTTGATCCATCCAACTCTATATTGCTACACACTGAATGGCAGACAGGGTCTCAGATCAATTTTTAAAACATATTCCCCCAAACACCAGATACTGCCAGTGTTCCAGCAAAGCATCACAAGGCCAAAATATGAGGAAAAGAGAAGCTACAATTATTGTTGCAATGTTCTATTTCAGTACCATGGAAGTTCTTAGAGACTTGTGTGAGAATGTCTTGAAGTAGAACTGAAACAGCATAGGATATTAGCCACAAAGGACCAAAGCTGCCTCACACAAATCCCTTCTAGTTCCCTCAATTTCTGCAGGAGTAAATTTAAAAAACAACACACAGAGGGTCTTCCTTCATGTAAATTCTCCCTCTGCTTCAGCATTCCTTGCCTTTGTGGGAGTGGGGTTTTCATTTCGGTCCATTTTTTTTCCTCTGGAGAAAGATTGTGTTTTGTCACTAAGCTTGATGTTTGGCCAACTGAAAGTGTATAGCTTATTTTTCAGTTCACTGGCAATGCTGGGATCTGGGTCATCTACCAAAATAGGAATAATTATTTCCTATGGAGAATTGTGTTCATGCTTGATCCATCAGAGTTTTGTCTGTTGGAGCTAGAAGTAGAAACATACAATAATCCCTTTCAGAGAAGAAACTTACCATGAGACGTCCAACATTCTAAATTCTATAATCAATCCTTCCTGTATTTCCTTATCATCTGCTTGCAAGTTGGGCAAATGATTTAGAGTGGGCTTTACTAAGCTTTTGATAGGTGTTGAAAGAGGTTTTAGAGACCATATTTACTGGAACTGTCTTAGAGGGAAAGAGCTTGGGTGTTGCTATTTTTACTTGCCACATCCTCTGACAGATTCTAAGAATCATCAGTGGATTCTTTGTAAGATTATATACAGTACATGACAGGATCCCGCGAATTGAGCAGCCTCAAGGGGCCTGTTGAGGATCCACTCAAACCTCTAAGACCTGCAGAGAATCATTGTGTTTTAGGCTAGAGCAAACAGATGGTCCTTCGTCTTTATAGCAGGAGATGCATGCAGCAAGCTATACTTAGGCCTTACCACTGTGATTCATTGCAGAACTGAAGGGGTTTCCTCCTTTCCCTGAGAAAGATTGTTGCTGCATATAGGCCCTCCCAAATTGAAGGTCAAGATTTTCCCTTGCATTAAGATAAATGCAGTAACAGTACTCTCTGGAGAACACAGTCACAGGCAGTCTAGCACGTTCGAATTCTTGGGAGGAGGGAACTATTGAACGTTTCAAATATTATGGTAATACTTCTCATTAGATAGCTGACCAGTAATATGTATTTCTAGCAGTTTTTCCTCTCCTGTGCAAGACATATTTCAATGCAAGTGTGTCTTTTGCGCAAACATTGTAGAAATGAGTTGCAGACTCTTTCTTGGCATGATTTCCTTAGAGTTCCCAGCACACCAGGAAATACGTCTTTGAGGGAAATAAATTAATGTGCACATATATAAATAAACCATTAGCAAATATTTTAACAGTAATCATGCTGAATTCTTATAGTTCTACTTTTGCAACAATTTTTTATGTGTTTCCTAGCCAAAATAAAAGACAGTACCACTCCAGCGTTCTTTGTTCACTGTTGCAAGAATCAGACTTGATCTGGCTATTTGGAGTGACCTTGCTTCATATGATAAAACCATGAATGGCCTTAGGTGGCTCGATGTTGCCAATTTCTATACAAATCTCTAGGTAAACTAGCTGGTATCAGTTGCATTGATTTGTCCCTGGTAGTAACTTTAACAAACCAGTGATTGATTGTGCTTCTCCCTTGGAACTTTCCAGTGCCAGCATATCTAACATGAATGCTTCAAATATTTGAAGATGTTTGGTTGTGCTTAAAAAAGGCATGAAGGGTGCAAAATGTGAACATGAACAGCTCTTCTTTGTTCCTCTCCTCATTCAGGACTGCTTGAAAGCTTGTCAGGAGCAGATCGAAGCTGCCTTAGCCGATAATCTGAAACGACTATCTCAGCCTCAGCAAGACTATAGCTCCTCCAAGAATGCAACTTACCTGGAGAGCCAGGAAGTCAGCTTGACCAGCACACCTACGGATGTCACAGATGTCAACCTGTAACAAGTCCTCTTGGTGACCACCACCCAGTTATCAGAACGAAAAGGGCCCCTGGAACGTTCTGCCATCACTGATTAACTGAGGGAATTTCCCCAGTAGATACCATATTTCTAATAAGACTGGGTTGTAGTGGACTTGGTTGGGACTCTTGCAGTAGGACTGTTTGTGTTGCTAGCCTGGGTTTCCAAGGATCAGGAGAGGCTTTTGGGGTAATTGAATCAAACTTAAACTTGGGAAGGATGAGTGAGCATAGCATCAGTTCAAAAGATTCATCAGTTTGGGTCGCTTCATTGGTGGGGCACTGCTGATATACTCCTACTTTATCTCAATCTTCGCTGCATGCCTATTTCATGTGAGTCAAGAGAGAGAATGCACTTTTGTTGCCTGAATCACCTTCATCTTCCATAATGACTTGTTGACATTCAGCTGATACTTCCGTGGCTAAAGCTGTTTTGCTCAGGCTGCCATTTGTGGGCATTATAAGAGCCCAAACAATATAGAGTTATAGCACTGGAATCCCTTTCCAGCTTCACTCAGTGCCAAGGATGCCTTAATTCTTTGAACATCTAGAGTAGCACGATCTTTGAGCCCTTCATTTGAGAGTGAGTTTGGGGGGGGGGGGTGCTTGCTTTTTGTAGGTGCTTATAAAGGGGCTGCTTGTCATAGTAAAAATGTGGGGAGGCCTGAAGGGATACATTTTACTTGCACCTGGTTGCCTTTGCTTATTCCTGTGAGATCTATGAGCTGCTTTATTTATTGTAAGGGTTAAATCTTGTAAAACTGCAGAATTAAGGGACATTAGCAGTCTGGTCTGTCCCATCTTGCCATATAAAATAGTGCCTTAATATTCTTTCCTCATTCTCCTTCATACCTCTGGGTTGCTTACTTTGATTAGCCATTGTAGAAGTCATTCACATTCAGAGTACACCCAACACGTGCTGCTATACTTGTATGTAAAATCCTTCTTGTCTATACTGCCAAAACCATTTTAAAAGGCAGGCAGGAGAACTGCATGCAAAGGATGTATGGAGAGGGAGTAAGTAAAAGAGTTTCTAATGCCATTTGCTTGCTTTTGTAAGGGGGATAAAAGATGAAAAATGTTCCCCTAAGAGTTTACAATATGATGAGCTACAGACTGCACTGGTGTAGAAAATTAAATCCATGATGGTTCAGGAAAAATGTTGGATTGTTTCCCCCCTAAATGCTGCTTTTATGAAAGATCACTTTAAGAATAATTAAGCATAGGTGAACTTTAGTGATAGGAGCAAACTTTGCATTTGAGTTCTAGTGGTAGTTCATTCTTCATCCCTCTAGCTTTACAAGAATAACAGAGTTGGAAGGGACCTTGGAGGTCTTGTAGTCCAACTCCCTGCTTGAGCAGGAAACCCTGTACCATTTCAAAACGGATTTCAACTTCTTCCTAAAAACCTCCAGTGTTGGGGCACCCTCAACTTTGGAGGCAAATCATTCCACTGATTAATTGTTCTATCTAGAAATTTCTCCTTAGTTCTAGGTTGGTTTTCTCCTTGATTAGTTTCCATACCGTTTCTTGTACTGCTTCAGGTGCTTTGAAGAATAGTTGACATAAACTGATGCAGACATCCCCAGTGGGGAGATGAGGCAAGTGACAAAAAGTATGTGGTGACATAGGCATGAAAAGGACGAACTTGGATTATGAAGTCGTGACATCTTTCACCATTTTGGCATTGTCATGATTGTGAATGAACTCAAACACCACATATTTACCAAAAAATGCTTTTTTAAATTTTTTATTTCCCCTTTCCCTATGCTTAGCCTGGTTATGTCATAATCAAAGTGCCATCAACATTTCTGAAAAATGGAAGTCTGTATCCATTAGAACTTCATACAAGGTTGGAAATGAGGAGAATGCATTTTAGATAGATATATATATATAGATATATATATATGTTTGACAATATGATATTCAGGGTCACTTGAAATTCTGTTGTTAGGACAATGTTGGTATTTTACCATATTGCAATAAAGTATTCTTGAAACTGGCTCATTCTTGCTCTCTTTCCTGGGCATACATAAAATACAATTTTAAAAGAACCAAATAGATCTACAATGTCATTTGACAACATCTTCTAAAGAAGGCTGTCTGTTCCATGGTACTATTAAAAATACAAGCTGTTCTTGATTTGTCCCTTTCAAGAACTTCATGTTATAATAACTATTTCAATAGTGCACATTTTCCAGCTATGGCAGCTAAATCCAGTAACCAGATGATAAAAATAGCAACTATAACAATACTATGCTTTAATATAAAAGTAAAATGCAGCATGAAGCAGGTACTTTATTAACGTGAAGGAGATACTGTATATGTGTGTAGAGAGAGAAAAAGCATAATCACTACAATTACAATGGCTATTAATTGATTTCCATGCACAATACAATACAATAGCAGAGTTGGAAGGGACCTTGGAGGTCTTCTAGTCCAACCCCCTGCCTAGACAGGAAACCCTATACCGTTCCAGACAAATGGCTATCCAACATCTTAAAGACTTATAGTGTTGGGGCATTCACAACTTCTGGAGGCAAGTTGTTCCACTGATTAATTGTTCTAACTGTCAGGAAATTTCTCCTCAGTTCTAAGTTGCTTCTCTCCTTGATTAGTTTCCACCCATTGCTTCTTGTTCTACTCTCAGGTGCCTTGGAGAATAGTTTGACTCCCTCTTCTTTGTGACAATCCCTGAGATATTGGAACACTGCTATCATGTCTCCCCTAGTCCTTTTTATTAAACTAGACATACCCAGTTCCTGCAACCTTTCTTCATACGTTTTAGTCTCCAGTCCCCTAATCATCTTTGTTGCTCTTCTCTGCACTCTAGAGTCTCCACATCTTTTCTACATCGTGGTGACCAAAACTGAATGCAGTATTCCAGGTGTGGCCTTACCAAGGCATTATAAAGTGGTATTAACACTTCACGTGATCTTGATTCTATCCCTGTTTATGTAGCCTAGAACTGTGTTGGCTTTTTTGGCAGCTGCTGCACACTGCTGGCTTATATTTAAATGGTTGTCCACTAGGACTCCAAGATCCCTCTCACAGTTACTACTATTGAGGAAGGTACCACCTATACTGTACCTGTGCATTTCATTTTTCTTGCCTAAATGTAGAACCTTACTCTCTTCACCATTGAATTTCATTTTATTAGATAGTGCCCAATGTTCAAGTTTGTCAAGATCCTTCTGTATCTTAAGCCTGTCTTCTGGAGTGTTGGCTATTCCTGCCAGCTTGGTATCATCTGCAAATTTGATGAGTTCCCCATTTATTCCCTCATCCAAATCATTGATGATGTTGAAGAGTACTGGGCCTAAAATAGAACCTTGGGGTACTCCACTGCATATTCCCTCCATGTAGATACAGTTCCATTGAGGACTACACGTTGAGTGCGGTTGGTCAACCAGTTACGAATCCATCTGGTGGTGATGCTGTCCAACCCACATTCTTCTACTTTATCTAATAATAGGTTATGGTCTACCTTATCAAATGCCAGATCCTTTAGATTGCATTGAAACTACTTTGTTATGACACTACTACTTGTAAAGTTAAACTTCCAGAGGGTTTTGTTTGTTTGTAATATGGTGCAGTCAGTAATACTTAAGAGGTTAACAAATTCTTAATGGTTCTCAGGACTGGACAGGAAACAGGTCATAGATCTGGACTTTTCCCTCCTGGCTGGATTTCTGTAGGACTGCAAAGATTAGCCTTAGTAGAGAAAGTTTAGATCATGCCTGCCCAGTGGATAGCAGTGGGATATGAGAGCATGTGATTGACTTACAGTATTTTATTTTTTTGTTTAATGCTTGTATGCCACTTGTAGCGTCTGGAAATGAAGCAATGGAGAATATATAGCAAGTTAAAAAATACCATTCACCATTGGTGGCCTTTCACCACATCCCTAGTAAAATAAAGCGATAGGTTACAACGTGGGGTTTTGGGTTATGGTTGGCCCTTCCTGTATGAAATGCATTCCCCAAGAAAGTCAGCAGGAGCCATTCCTGATGCTATTCTTGGCTAGATGTGTCTTTCACCCTGAATTGTTTTTTATATTTTAGCTACTTTGCTACATATTCCTGCTACTAAAGAATTCCATGTCTTTTATTTCAAAAGCAACTGAAACTTTAGCTTAAAGGTAATACGGTTTAATGAGGAAGTTGCCATTAGCAAAATATTTCAGGACTGGGACTTATCTGCAAACATGTTGGATATCATTTAAGGCAAAATAATTGAGATCAATTTTGAATGACATTTTTTGCCTTCTGAATTCAGTACAAAGAGCTCTGCACCTACTTTATATTCAGCTACCAGTAATCTGATTTCTGGCCTCTGAAATTTTAAATACTACATGGATGGGTTTTTAAAATCTGTTATTTTGTTGTTTTTTCTACGAACATAACAAATCTGAAGAACACTTGTAATGTAACAAACGTAATGAAGGCCATCCAATACTTATGGTCTTATGGTTTAGGAAAACAAGGGACTCTATCTCTGATTTTTTTTAAAAAATTTTAAATTTTAATTTTAAACACATAAGCACATCAACAGAAACAAACACATGACTTAAAAACAACATAGAAACAATAAGTTCCATCGTATATCATACAGCAGTTCCGAATCGGTTTCTTTGCAGTTAGTGTTTTCCCTTCTATACATTTCTATCTTGCGTTCATAATCTCCTTATTCGTTATTCATTTTTATGTACAATTCTTTATTTATTTATACTTAGCTACTTATGACCAAATATTATTTACCTATATTGTGCTTTATATTTTTACTGTCATTTATTCTCTTACATACAGTTATAGGTATACATTCACATAGTTATTCTTTTTCTTTGCCATTCTTATACTATTATTATTCCATTTAAAAGGTTATAAAGTATAGTTTGGATTGCTTTGTTTACCATCCTTCGCACCTGCTGTGACAGTACCTTATTTTCTCTCTCTTTTCTTTTCTCCCTCCCTTCCTTCTCTACTTCCTTCCTCCTCTCCTTCCCCTTCTTCCTTCCCTTATCTCTCCCCTACTCCTACCCTCTTTCTTCTCCTTCCTACCCTCTCCTTCTCTCTCTCCCTTCCACCCATCTCTCCTTACCTCTTTCTTCTTCCCCTACCTCTCCTCCACACTTCTTCTTCCTCTCCTATCTCTCCTTCTCTTTCTCTCTCTTCCACCCTCCTTTCCATTCCTTCGTCCCTCCATTCTCTACTTCCTTCCTCCCCTCCTTTCCTTCCTTCTTCCCTTCCTTTCTTTTTCTATTGTTATAGGTGTCTCTTTCAAATCCCAGTTTATGTTTTCTTGGAGATGGTATTTCCACAAACCCATTTTTGTTTCATATTATTTCCTTTTTTCTCTATCATTCTACAGTCTATATGCCAGCTATCGTCCTGATTTGATTTCATCAATCATGACCCCTTGTTTTACTCATAACTATTATTTTTGAGTATGGTTCTATTCTTTCATTGCTTTTTATTTCTTTGCTCCATCCAACTATACCATTTATCCCATATCTGATAGAATTCTGATTCTTCCTTTCCCTGTATTTCTTTCATTAATTTATCCATTTCGGCACAGTCCATAATTTTTCTTATTATTTCATCTTCATTTGGGGTTAGTTTGTTTTTCCACTTCTGGGCAAAAGCGATCCTTGCTGCTGTAAGTATATGTAATATTAGATATTGTATTTCTTTTTTGTATTTCACCAACATAATTCCTAATAGAAAAACTTCAGGTTTCCAATTTATTTTAACCCTTGTTATTGCCTCCAGCCAATTTTTGATCCTTTTCCAGAATTTTTTTGCCTCTTCGCAGGTCCACCATAAATGATATGTTCCATGTACCGAATCACATTTCCAGCATTTTGGGGAGGTATTTGTTGAGATTTTAGCCAACCTTGATGGTGCCAGATGCCATCTATAAAGCATTTTGTACTGGTTTTCCTTGTATGGAACTGATAGTGTCATTCTTAAATTTATTCCCCAAAATTTTTCCCATTTGTCTAGTTCAATGTTATAGCCAAAGTTCTGCGCCCATTTTATCATTTGTTCTTTCACAATTTCCTCTTCCGTTTGATACTTCAGGAGGAATTTGTATATTTTCCCTATCATCTTTCTGTTTGGACTTTGAATAATTTTATCCAATTTGTGTGGTTCTGTTTCAATGCCATATATTTTAGTATCTTTATTGTATTTAGTTTTAATTTGGAGGTAAGTTAGCCAATCAACTTTCATATTCTGATCTGCCAATTCTTCAGTTGTTTTTAAGTTTCCCTGTCTGTCAATTAAGTCTCTGTATCTTAGAATCTCTGAATTTTAATCTATCCGAAAAGCTGCAGTAGAACCATCCTGGAATCAGCATCTACATTTCCTT